GATAAAAAGTCTAAGACAAGAAATCTATCTCCAGCAAAATTTTCTTTTAATAATAAAGGAGACTTTGGGAGGCTGAAGTGGGTGGATCACCAGAGATCAGGAGTTGATCCAGCCTGCCCAACATGTTGAAAATCCGTCTCTATTAAACTACAATAATTAGCTGGGTGTGATGGTGTGTGCCTGTAATCCCAGCTGCTCAGGAGGTTTAGGCAGTAGAATCACTTGAACCTGGGTGGTAGAGGTAGCAGTGAGCCAAGATCGTGCCACTGCATTCCAGCCTGGGTGACAGAGCGAGACTTTGTTCAACTATTGTGGAATACAGTGTGGCAATTCCTCAAGGATCTAGAACTAGAAATACCATTTGACCCAGCAATCTGATTACTGAGTATATACCCAAAGGAATATAAATCATTCTATTATAAAGGCACATGGACACATATGTTTACTGTAGTGCTGTTCACAATAGCAAAGACTTGAAACCAACCCAAATTCCCATCAATGATAGACTGGATAAAGAAAACGTGGCACATATACACCATGGAATATTATGCAGTCATAAAAAGGATGAGTTCATGTCCTCTGCAGGGACATGGATAAAGACGGAAATCATCAATGTTCAGCAAACTGACACAAGAACAGAAAACCAAACACCGCATGTTCTCACTCATAAGTGGGTGTTGAACAATGGGAACATATGGACACCAGGAGGGAAACATCACACACTGGGGCTTGTTAGGGGGTGGGGGGCTAGGGGAGGGGTTTGGGGGATAGCATTAGGAGAATACCTAATGTAGATGACGGGGTGGATGCAGCAAACCATCATAGCATGTGTATACCTATGTAACAAACCTACATGTTCTGCACATGCACCCCAGAACTTAAAGCAGAATTAAAAAATAAAAAGAATGAAAAATAAGAAAAAACATATCAAAACTTATGGCATGCAATGAAAGCAGAGTTTATCTACAAAAGCAGGGCTCACAGAGACATTTATAGCTGCAAATGCCTATGTTAAAGAATAATCCCAAATGAATAACCTAACTTTAAATCATAAGAAATGAGAAAAGAACAGCAAACTAAACCCAAAGCAAGCAGAAGAAACACAAATTACAGAAACTGACTCAAGAAGAAACAAAATCTAAATAGACTTAGAAGAAGACATTGAATCAGTAATGAAAAAAAAAAATTCCTCAAAGAAAAATACATGACCAGATGGCTTCACTGGAAATTTCTACCAAACATTTAAAGAATTAACAACAAGCATTAACACTAATCCTTCTCAAACCTATTATCAAAAAACAAGTGGAGGGAAAACTTTCTCATTCTACAATGCCAGTAGTATCTTGCTACAAAAGGCAGTAAAGACATCACACAAAAACTATAAACCAGTATTCCTTGTGAATATAGATACAAAAGTCCTCTTCAAATTCGAATAAACTGAATCCAGCAGCATATGAATAGAATTTTATATATGATCAAGTGGGATTTATCTCAGGAAGGTAAAGTTGGTTCAAAATATGATTATCAATACATATACACCATATTAATAGAATAAAAGAAAAAAAATAGGTCTGGCACAGTGGCTCACGCCTGTAATCCCAGCACTTTGGAAGGCTGAGCAGGGTGGATCACCTCAGGTCAGGAGTTCAAGACTAGCCTGGCCAACATAGTGAAACCCTGTCTCTACTAAAAATCCAAAAAATAGCCAGGTGTGGTGGTGGGCGCCTATAATTCCAGCTACTCAGGAAGCTGAAGCAGGAGAATCAGTTGAACTCAGGAGGCAGAGGTTGCAGAGAGCTGTGATCGTACCACTGCACTCCAGTCTGGGTAACAAGAGTGAAACTCCATCTCAAAAAAAAAAAAAAAAAAGAAAAGAAAAAAATAGTAATCTCAATGGATGCTGAAGTATTTGGCAAACACCAAAATGCTTTCATGATAGAAACACTCATCAAAATAGAAAAAGAAGGAAACTTCCTCAACATGAAATCCTAGAGATCCTTAAAAAAATCACAAGAAAACAGTTAATAAATTCAGCAATGCTGCAAGATACAAGATCACTATGTAAAAATTATTTATATATGTACCTATATATTAGCAATGAATCAAAAAATGAAATTAAGAAAGCAACTTCACATATGATAGTATTAAACAGAATAAATATTTACTAAAATTCATGAAATCTCAAGGGACCCCGAACAGCCTAAATAATTTTGAAAAAAGAACTAAGTTGCAGGTTTCACATCACCTGCTTTCAAAACTCATTATAAAGACAGTAAATCAAAACAGTGTAGTATTGGCATAAAGAGAGACATATAGACTAATGTAATAGAATAGAGGGCCCAGATAAAAACCCTAACATACATGGCTAAATGATTTTTGGCAAGAGTGCTAAGAACATTCAATGGGGAAAATCAAAGTCTTTTCAACAAATGGTGTTAACAAAACAGGATATCCACATGCAAAAGAATAAAGATGTACCCTTATCTTATGCCATGCACAAAAATTAACTCAAAATGGATCAAAGACCTAAATGTAAAAGCTAAAATTACAAAACTCTTCGAAGAAAACTTTCATAACACTGGATTTAGCAAATATTTCTTAGATGACACCAAAAGCACAAGAAACAAAAAAATAGATAAACTGGACAACATCAAAATTTAAACCTTCTGTATATCAGAAGACACAGCAGAGTGACTGGAAAGAGGCAACCTACAAAACAGAAGAGAATATTTGCAGATCATGTATCTAATAAGGGATCAATATCCAGAATATATGGAAAATCCCTATAACTCAAAAACAAAAAAACCAAACAGCCAGATTTAAAATGGTCAAAGACTTGAAAAGACATTTTTTGAAAGAAGATATACAAATGGTTAAATAAGCACATAAAACCATGAATAATCATTAGGGAAATGCAAATCAAAACCAGAATAAGATACCAACTCACACACAACAGGATGGCTAGTATATCTATTAAAAAGTAGAAAATAAGTGTTGGCAAGGATGCAGTAAAATTGAAACCCTTGTGAACTGCTGGTGCAAATATAAACTAAAGCAGTCACTGTGAAAAAAAGGAGGGTCGGAGGAAACCTTATACACTGCTTATGGGAATGCAAAATGGTGGAGATACTATGGAATAGTCTGGCAGTTCCTCAATAAGCTAATCACAGAATTACCATATGACCCAGTATTTCCATTCCTAGATATACCCAAAAGAATTGCAGACAGGTGTTTAGACAAAAACTTGTATACAAATGTCCTAAATCAGTTCTAGTCACAATAGCCAAAAAGTGGAAACAACCCAAATCAATGAATGAATGGATAAAACGTAGTATATAACATGCAATGGAATATTATTCGGCTATAAAAAGCAATGAAGTATTGTTATACGTGTTATGTCATGGATGAATACTGAAAACATTATGTCTAAGAGAGAGAAGCCTGACACCAAGGTCATATATTATATGATTTCATTTATATAAAACAACCAGAATAGGAAAATCCAGAGTCAGAACATGGCTTACTGGTTGCCAGAGTCTGGTGACAAGAGGGATCAGGGAGTCACTTCTTAATGGGTACAGGGTTTCCACTGGCTTAATAAAACATTTCTAGAACTAGACAGTGGTGATAGTTATGAAACATTGTGAATATATTCAATGCTACAGAACTGTATACTTGAAAATGATCAAAGCTGTAAACTTTATATGTCATGTGCATTTTACTACACACACACAAACCCTTTCCTGGATCCATTTCTCTATCTCCCCTATGGACAAAAGCTTTACTTTGTGTCATTCCCAATTCTTCCCTTACTTTAGAAAATATCATATTCTATTTTTTATATATGTAAACACTACCAAAAGCTCAATTATGAGAAATAATAAGTATAATAAATTTTCTGAACATCTCATGCCTCCCTTTCTCTAGACCATGTAATCCTACTGACAAAATGTTTTTCAGCACAGATTACCAAAATAGGTATTTATATGTATGTCACTACTGTACTCATAAAACATACAAAAATAAAAATTTTAAAAAGTTGAGAAAAATAAATATACACTTGAATATTTTTTTCATACTCCACTGAACCGTTTTGCAAGCATCCCTCTTTGGAGAACATGTCTACTGATACTTGAAATTTTCCTCTTGGGTTAAAGCAATGGCCTACATTACTGACCCCATGAGAGCGGCCTTATTAACTCCCTAAACTAAGGAATGTGAGAATGCCCTTATAGGAGGACACTGTTGCACTGTGGTGCCTACTTTAAGAAGACAAGAGAAATTTACCTTAGGTCTATCACATTTATCTGCAATGTTTCTAAAAATTTTGTTTTCTTTTTATATAAAAAATGAATGTAACTGATCACAAAATTCTAGCAACACTAAGTGCTAGAAAATATAAAGCCAAATTTGTAGCTAACTTCAAGCAACCACATCTACAAGGTATATTTACCTTCCTTCTGGCTTTGACTTGTCTTTCTATTATTCACAATTTCCCTTTACTTATTTTTCAAAAATCATATTGTAGCTCACCCCAGCTTCAATTTTTAAAATCACCTCAATTCTTCAATTACTAAAAAAAAAAATTGTATTATTTATGTGTTTGTCTGTGTGTGTTTAAAAGAACCTCAAATACATTTCTTGAAAGACAGAGAGGAATGAATTAAAAATAAATAAATAAACATAAACTCAGCAATACTGTTCAGGATAGAGATAATTCTAATCTCAAAGCTCCCCCATTTCAGAGGCAAACTGTGCACACCCTAAAGGATCTAGCAGCAAAAACCTTCATTCAAAAGGTAATTCGTAAATGAATGTTGATGAAAAGAATGACAACTCACAATAGCACTGTACTACACTTTCTCACTCTTTTCCAGTTGATAAGAAATGGTATAGAGAGGAAAGGGCAAATGGCTTTTTTTTCACCTGTGTGCAAAGCTTAACTAAAAAGTCCATGAAAAGGGCAGTCACATTGCCAGATGGAATCTGTAGCCATGTACCTGGATGCGTCTCCTTCTGGTGTGCTCAGAAGTCATTTGGGGATGACATGTATTCAATACTTTCTTGCTGTGTTTGCTCCGCTTCTCAAGGTATCTCCTCTGTTGGTTGGTGATGCTGCTATACAATTTAATTCGTCTGGGTGACAGGCATACTCTTTCATGGCCAAAAGCTTGAATCAATCGGGCGGTGTCAATAGTGGAAACAGAGCTACTCCTTTCATGCAGAGCCACCTCTCTATCTGTTTGGGTCAATATATCTGATTCGACAGCAGAAGTGGTGCTGGAAAGGACGTTGGTGGTAGTATCTGTGAGCAGCTCACTCTCCTCTGAGGGCCTACAATCTGAAGAAGTATTGCTTACATAATTAAAACCTGGCTGTTTACTCAGAATATATTTATCAAATTTAATCTGTTCAATTTTAATTTGATTAGACCTCCCAGCTCCATGATGAGAAAACACCTTGCTTTTTTTAAGCTCTCCTGTGTTTCTATGGCTTTTCTCTAGACTTTTAAATGGTTTCTTTTTCTGAAGCTTGTTTCTCTGCTGTTGTCTACCACTCCATTCCTTCACACCTCGTTCCCCTCTGCCATCATCAGGTGTACTTTCTGAGACCTGGAGAGAATGTGTGATGGGATTCTGAAGAAGTTTAGCCAAACGGTCAAGTCGCTCCACCAAGGATAGTTCTTTCCTGTCGTCCAACCTGGGCTGCATCTGTTGCCTCTGTCGCTCCCGGTACTTGTTCCACAGTTCATTCAAACTCACAGTGTGCTGAGCTGCTTGCTCTGGGGTGAGCTTCTGATCCCTTTTAGGATCATTAATTTGTACATTATATTTTGGATAATCTGTAGCTTGACTTTTAGTAGTATGCATCACTTCTTTGTTTCCCAAATTCACATTGATGCTGAGACTCTTTATTTTGGTATAATCCGTCTTAGTCTTGTCCATGTTTTGATAAGGAAGCGGAAGACAAATGTGTTCTCTATGTTTGTCTGGGTGATGCTGAAAGAAATCTTTCCAAGAATGCCTCATGAAAACACTTCTTCCCAAAGATTCATGGCAAACATCTTGATCACTTGGTAGATGTACGGGATGATGAATGTAAAACTTCGCCGACCTGAAGACAGAATGGGTAGTATTTTCAAATTCTGAATGACATTCAGACTCTGAAAAGGAGAAAAAAGAGATTCTGAAAGAACTTAAAAATATTAGCATTCTGTTTAGAAATACTGTTCACAGTTCTTTAGATATAAAACAAAGACTAAAGGAAAGAACAGTTTATATAAAGTGTCAGAAAATTCACTGCCTGCACAAAAGAGTCATACCCAGTTCTTAGCAGCCTCACTGGTACAGTAAAAGTTTGAGAGACATGAATTTTGGTCTGGGTTCTGCCCTCGACTGGCTATGTGAGCTCGAGGAAGGCACTTTAGTTCTCCAGATAATAAGAGCAACTGCCATACGTATTTACCACTTGTTTTGTGTGGGGTGTTGTGATATATGCTCTATATATGGTTTTCTAATTAATCTTGCAATTAAAACTGAGAGATATCACTAACCCCATATTCAGCTAAGAAACATGACATTTCATTTTCATAATCAGTAACTAAATGGATAAATTTTTAAAAACTCTTTTTACATGTTTTAGAGCCTTCTGAAATTCCTTTTCTGTGGACCATCTTTCACTTTTTTCCAAAAATTTTTTTATTGTGGTAAAACATACATAAAATTTACCTCTTTCCCATCTTCACTTTTTGACAACAACCATTACTTTATTATTTTTTTTAAAGGCCTTTTTAGATGTAATATCTTACGATTTTCTATGGTTTGAAAGTTTGTGTCCCTCTAAAATTCATGTTGAAACATAATCTCCAATTAACAGTATTAGGTAGGAGGTGATTAGGTCATAAAGGCTCCACCTTCATGAATGGGATTAGTGCCTGTATAAAAGGGCCTGAAGGATCTTGTTTGGCCTTTCCCTGCTTTCCACTATGTGAGGACACAGTCACAAGACGCCATTTTGGAAGCAGAGACTGAGCTCTCACTAAACACCCAATCTGCCAATGCCTTAATCTTAAATCTGCAGAATTTTGTCACAGCAATAGGAATGTGCTGAGACACAAACATAAACACTAATTGTAATCTCTAATATGATATCAAAACACTGTCTTAGAGTTCCACATCATGGGCAGAAACAAAGATACATACATGCAATGATGGGATGCTTTTCACCCACACTATAGATTACTGGCAAGCAGAGTTTTCACAAAATACTCTAGGAATCCCTATGGATTTCCCTAAAGTAGAGTAGGATACACAGGATCTGCTTTTATACCTAAAGTACAAAAAAACTATACAACTTTAGAATTAACTAGCAACATTTAAAAATTGGGAGATTTCATTTAGCTTCTATAGGTTCTTGAGATTGCAGCTTTTCTACCAAATAGATATAAACAAATATATAATTCTAAATTAGGGGATACAAAGAACAAAAACAAGGTGATAAAAGACAAATTTAACCAGGAAATGGTAGCTAGAGAAGACTTCTCTGAGGAAGATAAGATATGAAGTAAAAATGAGAGCTAAACAAACAGGCAGAAGAACATTCTGGGCTGAGGGATCACTTTCTGTGGATGTCCTGAGGCAGCTGCTACCTATGCCAATCCATCTGCTCCCACAACCTTTCTGGATACAGAGATAACACCACCTCTCCCATTCTTTTAAAGGCAAGTTCCTCCACTGCTGCTCTGGAACCCAACTCATCTTCCTTTCAAGACCTTGCTTCCTTTCCTTATCATATGTCTCTTCTATCTTTCAGGTTCTCCCTCTATACAGGATCATTTCCAGTGGCTTGAAAACATCATTTAGCTCTACTGACTGTTTCTTTTGCCGTGCAGAAGCTGTGGAGTTTGATAGAAATCCCATTTGACCCAGCAATCCCATTACTGGGTATATATCCAAAGGATTATAAATCATTCTACTACAAGGACACGTGCACACGAATGTTCATTGCAGCACTGTTTACAATAGCAAAGACCTGGAACCAACCCAAATGCCCAACGATGATAGACTGGATAGGGAAAATGTGGTACATATACACCATGGAATATTACGCAGCCATCAAAAACGATGAGTTCGCGTCCTTTGTAGGGACATGGATGAACCTGGAAACCATCATTCTCAGCAAACTGACACAAGAGCAGAAAATCAAACACCGTATATTCTCACTCATAGGCGGGTGCTGAACAATGAGAACACAAGGACACAGGGAGGGGAGCACTACACACTGGGGTCCGTTGGGGGGAAATGGGGGAGGGGTGGGGGGTGGGGAAGTGGGAAGAGATAGCATGGGGAGAAATGACAGATACAGGTGAGGGGACGTAAGGCAGCAAACCACACTGCCATGTGTGTACCTATGCAACAATCTTGCATGTTCATCACATGTACCCCGAAACCTAAAATGCAATAAAATAAAAAAAAAAAAAAAAAAAAAAAAAAAAAGAAAACATCATTTAGCATGTATGTTTAGAAAATCCTCACATCTTCCTCCAGGTACTCGCCCATTTCTCTGCTCCTCTTCATAGCCAAGCTTCTAAAGTGGAAACTATTTTCTTCTCCTTTACTTCTCTTCCTACCCCAATTCACTATTCAAATTACTGCAGAGTACAGCCACACTCCTGGACTAAAACTGCTTTTGCTAATATCATCAACAACCTCCATGTATGGCCAATTCCAGGAAATGTTCTCATTCTATATTCTCTGTCTAGGTAATCTCATCTCTCCCTGTGGCTTTTAATACCATTTTCATGCTGTTATCTATTTTCAAATTTATATTTCAAGCTATGATTTCTCTATTGAGTTCCAACTATATACATGATATATCCACTCTGATGCCACGGCCATGTAGCTGAACTCTATTCCAGCCTCAACAATTCCACCTCCCCTAGTCTTTCACATCTCTGTAAATGGCACATCATCCTACTGCCCAAGCCAAAATCTGGAGTTATTCTTAATAGTTCCAACTCCCTCCTCTTCCTGTTCTTGCCATTAATCCTTCACCAATCGATCACACATCTGTCTACTTCTATTTCCTATCATAATACTGCATGTCTCTAACAGGTCTTCTGTCCCATCTTGTGCTTTTCCAATCTATTCTTCAAATAGCGGTCAAAGTAATCTTTTTAAAATGTAAATTGGACTTGTCATTTTCTATGTAGCAATTTTCAATGGCCTTCTCTTACACTGAGAACAAAACCCAAACTCCTTAACAGGAAGCACAAATATATACAACTTTTCTTCCTTGTTCTGTACAACTCTTCCAGTAACTATACTTCAGTCATGCTGGCCTTTCCCCCACTTCACAAAATAGCATGAGCAAAACCATAAAAGTAGGAAAGCACTGAGGCAATTAGGGAGAATGGAAATATTCAGTATGTGTGACTTCTACAATTTATAAAGCAGAAGAAAGTAAGGCAGCAAAGGTTATTTGGGGACAAATTCTACAGGTTCTGGAGCATTAGACCAAGAACTTTAAATTTTATTCTTAAAAAAAATGAAGAGCCAATATACCATTTTGAGCAGGGAGTAACATAATTACAGCTGTATTTCAGAAAGAATACCTTGGCAACAGGACAAATAAAGCAAAAATTTGAAGGGCTATCTAAAATTCATTAAAGCAGTAAGTAAAATAAGGAAATAGATAACATTGCTCTAAAATGTTTATTTTCTAATATCAGTATTTTGAATGAACATAATCCTTCCAATCTGGGACTGAAGTAAAATACAGAGAGAATAGTAGAAAATAAGCAAGCTGAAGGCTAGGCACGATGGCTCACACCTATAATCCTAGCACTTTGGAAGGCCAAGGTGGGGGGTGCATTACTTGAGGTTAGGAGTTCGAGACCAGCCTGGCCAACATGGTGAAACCCCATCTCTACTACAAATAAAAAAATTAGCCAGGTATGGTGCTACACGCCTGCCATCCCAGCTACTGGCATGGCTGAGGAAGGAGAATTGCCCAGCCTGGGTGACAGAGTAAGATTTCATCTCAAAAAAAAAAAAAAAAAAAAAAAAAAAAAAAAAAGCAGCAGCAGCAGCAAGTCGAATTCCTTAAGTATAAAGGACTTTATTTATAGAACAACAGGATTAGATAATCACCATCATCTCGGGCACTTTGTTAAGAGTAAAGGTCAAATAAGTTGAAACAGTTATTTACTTCTGACAATGGAAATTAATTTTATACATAACATTTGCAAAATTCTTCCCAAGTATATCAAAGTACATTGAAAATATGATTTACTGCTTTTTATTTAAGTGTTTCATACCTAGAACTGCAGACTTTTTAAAACTAAACATGCAAAATATTCAAATAATGCAGAAGAATTTAATATGAAAAGGTCTGTTATCTCTGAACCTTCTAGTTCCACTTTCTGAAAACCAATATTAAACAAGTTTTCTCACAGAAAAATTCCTGCCAAGAAGAGTAAAACTACAAGTAAAACTTGTTCAAAGCAAGATTTTATGAATCTACATTTTATATTAAAATGATTTACTTTACCATAATTTAACAAAATATTTAGGTTATTTCCAATTGTTTATTCTTCCAAAGAATGCTGCAGTGAACATTTGTTTCTGTGTATATGTATAATTTTATTTTATTTTTCTGGGTACAACTTTATCTGAGTACCTGTAATTCCCTTAAGTGGAAGTCTGGGTGAAAAGAGGACATTTATTTCAACATTAGTTAGATACTGTCCAATTGCCCCACATCTTAAAAAATGTTGCAACAAATGTGCACTTCTAATAGTTTTATGGGAGTACATGAATGTTTCCCCATGTACTCAACAATAGTAAGGATAATCACATCTTTTCATCTGTGCTATTTTGACAGGTAAAACAAAATTTGTGTTTTAGTACATTCTTTATTAAGAGTTAAGTATTTCTTCATATCTTTAATGGCCATTTGCATTTCTTTTACTATAAACTTTCTGTTCAGGTCCTTTGACTGTTTTCTTTTTAGGTTGTCATTGATTTGTAAAAAGCTCTTTGTATAGTAAGAAAAAATTAGCCCCTTTTCTCAGTTTCTTGATTTCTTAAAATTGTTTTCCCATTTTCCATTTATAAATTGTGCATTATATTTTCTACCGTAAAGATACTTTAATTTTAACAT